AGAGATCAGCGGAGCAGCGAGGCCTCACTGCCCCTGTGTCAAGCAGAGCCGCGAGGCCTCCTGGCCCCTGGAGCAGCATGACAGGGGGCAGCACCCAAACCCCCTGATCACCCTGCGGCTCTGTGTGTGACAGAGGGCAGGGCCACAACCTCCCTATCCGTCATGCTCTGTTCATGACAGGGAAAGGAGCCCCAACTCCCTGATCGGCCCTGCTCTGTGCATGACAGGGGGTGGCGCCACAACCTCCCCATCGACCCTGCCTTGAGTGTGACAGGGGGTGGCGCCCCAACCCCTAAGCTGGCGGCAGCCACAGAGCTGGAGCGAGCAGGAGGCTTGGGTTGCCCCCAGTGATGGGGGAAGTCAAGCTTCCCGCCTGCCCTGGCTGGCCCTGGGCTCTAGTCAAGGCTACAAAGTTTCAATTATAGAAGATAAATAAATTCCAGTAAAAAAGAAAAAACATTAAAAAAGGAGAGGCTGGGAGCTTTGCTCACTGGGGGGCATGGCCAGCCTGAAAATGGCCATCAGCCCCTCACCCAGGCTGGCCAGGCACCCCAGCAGGACTCCCCTACCTTGAAGGGGCTGTGGGCAGCCTGAATACGGCCCTCAGCCCCTAACTCAGGCTGGCCATACCCACATGGGGTGAGGGTCCCCGCTGGGGGCTTGGCCAACCTGAAAACAACCATCAGCCCCTCACCTAGGCTGGCCAGGCACCCCAGTGGGGACCCCCACCCTTAAGGGGCTGTGGCCAGCCTGAAAACAGCCCTCAGCCCCTCACCCAGGCTGGCCAGGCACCCCACCGGGACCCCCACCCTGATCCGGGACACCCTTCAGGGCAAACCAGCTGGCCCCCACCCATGTACCAGGCTTCTATCCTATATAATAAAAGGGTAATATGCAAATTGACCCTAACAGCAGAACAACTGGGAGTGACTGGTCACTATGATACACACTGACCACCAGGGGGCAGACTCTCAATGCAGGAGCTGCCCATTGGTGGTCAGTGCGCACCCACAGGGGGAGCTCTGTTCAGCCACAAGCCCAGCTGATGGCTGCCAGCACAGGGGTGGTGGCAGGAGCCTCTCCCACCTCCTTAGCAATGCTAAGGATGTCAACTGCAGCATAGGCCTGCTCCCCACTGGCAAGTGGACATCCCCCGAGGTCTTCCAGGCTGCCAGAAGGATGTCTGACTTCCAGCTTAGGCCTGATCCCCTGGGGAGCGGCCTAACCCAGCAGGTGGAGATCCCCCAAGGGGTCCCAGACTGCGAGAAGGCACAGGCTGGGCTGAGCAACCTCCCCAAGTGCACAAATTTTTGTGCAGCGGGCCTCTAGTTTTAAAAATATTTTATGATAGTGTTATATGTCATTCTTTAATGTCTCAACATATAAAATACTAGAAGCCCAGGTGTGAAATCACGCGGCCCCACCCACCTGTACGCACCCCGCCGCACTCACACCCTACCCACCCCCACCGGTCTTTGGTTGTTATAGCATTAGGGCCACTGGGTTTTTATAATATAGACTAGGGGCCCAGTGCACGAAATTCGTGCACTGGGTGTGTGGGGGGGTGTCCCTCAGCCCAGCCTTCCCCCTCTCACATACTGGGAGCCCTCAGGTGTTGACCCCCATCACCCTCCAATCGCAGGATCGGCCCCTTGCCCAGGCCTGATGCCTCTGACAGAGGTGTCAGGCCTGGACAGGGGACCCTCATTTCCCCCCATCACTGGTTCTGCCCCCAGCCCAGGCCTGATGCCTCTGGCCCAGGCATCAGGCCTGGGCAGTGGACCCCCAGACCCCTCCGATTGCTGGCTCTGCCCCTTGCCCAGGCCTGATGCCTCGGCCAAAGGCGTAGACCCCCATCACCCTCCGATTGCCTGATCGGCCCCCTG